GGTGCATAGTGAGGTTGTGATGATGCTTGTTGTAATATTTCATGACGTAATTCAAGTTCTGCCAAACTATCAATAATATCATTAATAGGTTTTGTTTGATCGATCCTATAAATTTCATCTCTGATATCAGATCTAACTCTTGATAAGAAATAGGTTTTCTTCTGTGCTGGTATATAACCGAGTTGATCACCATATTTCTGAATTTTAGCCCAGAATGAAGGTACAGTCTCATATGCACCTTGTTTTAATACACTAATTTCTAACATTTTTACATATTTATTAGTAGTTAGATAATGTTTTTTTATTTGATGAAGCCTTTGTCCTGATCGAACTCCTGCAAGAACAATAGAATTACCTCCTCCAGCATTTGGTGCAACTGGTACAACATTAGTTGAATACCCTCCTGCTACCATCCAATCTTTAGCAACATTTCGAGCTAGAATAATTTGTACACCTGTAAGTCCAAGTAGAACGTTTAGAAAAGAAGCAACTACATTTGTTATAGCTCTAGCATTAGCACCCTGAATATGTGCAATAGTGGCTCCTATACCAGAGTTATCAAGTATATTATCTAGCATCTAATTTTTATTGTCAAATTCTCTATGATACTATTCTCTTGCTTCTCCTTTTAAAGACCATTCTAATATAGTGAGAATGTTTATATTGTTATTTACTTCTGCTAAAGTTATATATGATATAAATCTATCTATGAAATCTTCATGATCTTCATCACCACCATGAAATTCTGGTTGTGCAAATCCTACTGGTAATGCCATCAGTTGATTTTGTTGATTATTTACTAATGCAAAATTTTGTTGCTGTAAATTCAAAATTAATTGCTTGGCATTGCGAGTTCTATTTTTCCACTTTCCCCACTTTAGATCAAGCTGGATTTCGCATAGCAGTAAATCATTTTGGCATGTTCTAGTCTTGTTTGTAGTGTAAAATTTTGTTGCTATAAATTCAAAATTATTTGACGTTCATCTTTAGTCTTATTCTTCCATTTTTCATACTAATCATGTAGTCAGTCTCGCCAAAATTCATCTAAAGCTCATTTATTTCTACAGTTTTGTAATGCATGATCTTGCTCCTGCATATACATATCACGGTTCTATTGCTCATTTACTAGATCCTGTTGCAGGTTAGCAAATTTACGTTGAATTGATCTTGTTGATCTTTTAATTTGATTTTTTAAAATAGTTTTACATATTGTTATATCCTCTAAGAATCGGTCTATTGCATCAGCTAACTCAGCTATTGTATCCATATCTAAATCAAAAGTATAATTATCTTGAGAATTTTCATCAGAATTAGATTCATCTTCATTATAATTCCATTTTTGTGTATTTTGCAGAGCCTCTCTAATATTTATAAGTTCTAATCTATCTCAGTATCTTAATAATATTAATGCAAAATTTTGACAAAACAGGTCTGTAATACGATTTTTTTGCTGATTTATTTTGCTAATCCTATTTATTTGATTGGTTCTTATCGTGTTTATTTCTTGTTTAAGACGTTCATTCTCATCCACTAATCTGGTTGTATAATCTTGTGCTTTAGGTGTATTTCTAGCTGATTTTGATATTTCTCGTATTCTGGTTTTTAATTTTATTTTACATTCATCGAATTCTGATATTAACTTATCCTTATTTGAGATTTCCTTGTCTTTCTTTTTATTTTCTTCTTCGAGCTGATGAATGATTTTTTTTAGTTTTGAGATTTCTTCTAACAATTCTTTTTTGTCTTGTGTTGATAGTTCGATAGCATTATTTAACTTTTCTTCAAGATATCATATCCTTTCTTCTCGTATACCAATAACTCTTTTTAAGGTATATAGACATTGTTCAAAATTCCTATTTGATTCAGCTAATTGTAATACCACCTTATAGAGTTCTTGGTTGGTTTGTTGTAACTCGTCCATTGTTTTTTATTGACTATAATGCTGTCTATTCACAAGTTTGTGCCTAGATATATATTGTTAACTATTTTTTATTATACTATATAATCCCAACAATGAGAAAAACGAATTGGCGGAGAATGGAGAAACCTGTGATTTATATTGACCCACAGAAGGCCCATGATTTGGATAGAGAGATTGCATTGCAGAAACTATATTATAAGCCTGAAGGTTATTATTGGACTGCTAAAAAATACATGATGCTTGTAGAAATACTGGTCTTAATTTTTCATTAATCATGATAAAAGATTGGTTAAACAAGCAGGCAGTTTTTTAGATTTATAAGCCTCCTCCGAAGTATATCCCTCAAGTATCATTTAATATGATTCAAATTCCTAATGAATGTCATCAGGCTGATATCCTCTATATGCCTTATGATAAAATTGGAAAAATAACCTATATATTTTGTCTTAACGTAGTGGATGTTGCTTCTAGGTATAAGGTATCAGTTCCGATTGGAGGTATTATTTCCAATATCAAAGATTTTGATCTAAAAAATATTTTAACTTCGAAAGCTGTTGCTTTATCATTTAAGAAAATCTTTAATGATCTGAAGTATCCACTTACTTATCCTAAATTATTGTTAACTGATAAGGGTTCTGAATTCAGAGTGGATTGTGAAAGACTAATGATAAAGCATAGCATAAAAATTCAGAAGGCTAATTCTAAATGTACAATGGATATTGTTGAAAGATATAACCGAACCTTGGCAGAGAGATTATTTTGAATACAAGATGCATCAGATTTGCTATTGCCAATATCTGAAAGATCTCGGGCTTGGGTAAAGAATCTTCTAATTATTGTTAAAGTACTTAATAATTCTATAACTCGACTTCTTGGAATTACTTCTGCTGAGGCTATTCAAAAGAAACAGGTTAGTGCTATTTCATCTTTACCTCGCAATGGACCTATTGGATTTGATGAGCCTCAATTACCTTATAATGTTTTGATAAGATATTTACTTGAACCAGGTGAGTTAGAAGGTGGTAAAAAATGAGCAACTGATTGTAATTGGTCTCCACAAGTATATTACATCAAAGAATCACATATACAAAAAAATCAGCCAGTTTTGTATTGGCTTGTAGATGATAAGGATAATAGTTCTAAGAGGTCTTTTGTTCGTGAGGAATTAATAAAAGTTGGTAAAGTTGAGTATCCACCTAAACGGATCTTTGCCG